GACTGAGCTCATTACTTCTCAAGCTTTAAGGAGAGAACTACCACCTAAATGATGAGACAGGGACGTTGTCATTAACAGGCACGGCCTCAGTGGGACTCAGCTAGCAAACCTCAAGTGAACGATTCAAACCCCCCAAAAAGTTTCAGCAGTCCTATGAAGCCCCCAGGATGTGTACTTCAATTTGGTCACGACTAAATTTGGTAACATGTGCTTTAACTCTCTCTACCCACAATATGTGATGATGATGATGACTGTCTTCACGAGCATCACTGCAGACACCGCGACCCTGCACTCCTAAGGTACGTGCGTTTCCCTCTGCGAACAGAACATCGCCAGACCTAAGCACAGGACAAAAACCAAACGCAGGGCCCCAGTATTGATACAGCACCGTTACTGAACACAAGCCCTACTCTAATTTCCCAGCACCGTACTTGCTTGTGACTTTTGTTGGTTTAATTCCAGGATTTAGCCCAGGGTCGCACACTGCGCCCAGCTGTCAGGTTTCTCTAGACTCTCATCTGGAGGTTTCCCGGCCTCTGTTTGCACTGACCTCTCTGGAGAGCGTGCAGGCTGTGCTTCTGCGGAACAGACCCCGACTGGGTTTGTCTCCTCACGATTCAGGTGCTGTCTTTTCTGGCAGGAGACCTACGTAGTGATACTGGACTCCTCAGGGCGTGATGTCAGCAGACACGTGTCACTGTCCCATTACCGGGGACATGAACTCTGATCATGGGGTGAAGGTGCTAGCCAACAGCTCTCTCCAGACAATTGCACTTTATAAACAATGACGTGACAGCCTCTGCAGTCACATGCAAGCTCACCTGTTCACACACGTCACGGCACATCTGGTTGTCCTTCGAATGATTACAACACAGTACACCTGGAGAGAGAAAAGAAACACGTGTCGTCCCAAGTCAAATGCGCAGGATGACGCCCCTATCAAACTGTTCACTCAGCAGGTCAAATACTGGCCGTTTTAACTCACCAAACCTTTACCATTTTAAGGAGCACAGTTCCACGAGACGTTACCATTAATTCTGTGCCTCAGTATAAAATACGTCACGTTCAAATAAATTGAGAAATGAAGGATGAAACCAAGTTAAACTGCAGGACTTCTCAGAGCCTGTGCTACCTTCACGTACGTTATGGATTTACACAATCCACAATTATGTTTTATACACAGATTCCTCAGAGCACAAAACACTTTTCTTTCCATGTCATTTACCAACACTTCAAGGAGCTCTGCTGGCAGAGTGTTTAAAGTGTTCCACTGCTAACCAAAAGGTCACTGGCTTGAACCCACCAGCCGCTCCGCAGAGGAAGATGAGGCAGCCTGCTTCTATAAAGATCGACAGCCTTGGACACCCTATGAGGCAGTTCCACTCCGTCCTGAGGGTCACTACGAGTTGCAATGGACTTGGCGGCAGCGGGAGCAACATTTCCGAATGCCAGTTTGAGAAGGATCCAATTAGAGAAAAGCGAAGGTTGCCCAACAGCATTCTGGGCCGAGAGGAGTTCACCAAGTGGCTACGGAGTGACATGCGGGGGCATCAGGAGAGTGGCCAACCGGAGGGCAGGTCCCGCTGAATGGATGAGGGGCTGGCTGCGGGCACGTCAAGAGAGACGCAGAAGAGTGCGCATTACACTACAGACAGCGGTTAAAAATGACCCTGGGGCAATAAATCCCTTCTTTAAACAAAACCCATAGTTTCAATCCACAAACTAGGTAAAAGCAGAGCATGTCTGACTGAGACGGGACTGGAATTAGGGCGAAAAGAACGAGTAAACACACGAACAAAAGCAGAAAATCCACTTCAGAGCCGACCAACAGGGCGCCTAGGCGGAAACTGGATGTCACTTCTAGACCCAACAGTCTCAGGATCTGCACTAGTGCTGCCATGCGACCAGCGTGGCTTCATGTGGCTGTGGGGCTGGGTTCTGATGTGATTCCTCTGGGAACAGCTGTCTTGAGCCCTAAGTGTGGGCCTCACACAGTTCTGAGACGGTATCAAAGCGCCACCAAAGTGTGAAAAGGAAGGAAGGTCCCAGAAAGCTCATCTTGGGGGGTGGGTCCGATCCCTTGTGAGGCTTTCTCCTAACCCGCCTCCCCCAAATGCCACACCACCCCTCTTCAGAACGGGGAGCCTGGCTGGAGAGAAGCGCCCCAGAGGCTGGCACTCCTGCTGTCCCCTGACACGGAGGCTGGACGAGCATGCTGAGCCCCAGCAGAGAGCGCTCAGGCGACACAGGGTCCCAGTAAACAGCGGCTCTGCCCAAAGCCGAGATCAGGAGGGCTCCCTGATCTCGAGTAGCTGAGGCTGGGGCTGGGGCTGGGGCTGAGGGATTGAGGGGAAAGCCGCTTCTTGGAGCAAAGGTCTGCTTAGAACAGAAAAACAAACACATTCCAATTCAAACTCCAATGATAACGATGATCTGATTAAAACCAGAAACGCGAAAGCCCATTTTTCCTCTATTCAACGTGAAGGTCAAATCTGTAGTCTAGCCCCCAAAGTTAGAATGTTCAAATGATTTCTTGACAAAAATTCGGAAAAGCAAAGGGAGATGACGTACCCTCCCACTCCCCTGCCCCAGCCTCTGGCCTTCTCCCATCGCCCCTTCCAGTAGCTCCAGAACTTCCTCCAGGCTTCCCACAGTGAGCCAGTAAGGAGGCCAGCAGTAAGGAGGCCAGCAGTAAGGAGGCCAGCAGTAAGGAGGCCAGCGGGGAGAGTGCCGGTTCAGCCCGCCCACCCTCCTCCAAACAGGTCTTCCTCAGGTTCGGTCCATTTCCCCTCATCCTCCTCCCTGGGGAGGGCTGCCCTGGTGGCCACCCATCGCATCCCCTACACCCTTCAGAGCGTCCTGCATAAGCACTCCTTCCCCAGAACCGCCAAACCCTAGGATCTTCAACACTGCGCTCCTCAGGCCTCAGGAGGTGCCTTTAGTCAGGACCCGGAGGGGGGCAGGGAAAGGGATTCCAGGGCAGGGAGTGTGGCAGTTAAAGGTCTTCCTCCTTTTTAGAGCGATTCAAATGGATTAATGGGACCATTTAATTATTACAATTATTAAATTATTACATTTAATTATTACCGTGCCAGAACGGTGCGCTCGCCAAGACCTAGTGTTCTCTACAAAAGCAGAAAATGAATTCCAGAAACGTTTTGTTGTTACAATTTGATTCTTATACGTTCTTCAACAAAAATAATTTTAAACCCCCTGTATCTGCATAAAATGGAATTGAGCAAATAAGAGTAATACAGTTCAAAATAAAACTGGATATTGTGATGACAAAAAATAAAAAAAGCCCCATTAAAGGCAGAGGAGGAGTGTCATGTCTTGCACTATCATTCCAAGAGTCTGTGATAATAAAATTAATAAAGGCCAATAAAAGGCTGAGTAAAGGCTGCGTGTCCCAGGCTTGGGAAGGGATCCTGGAGCCTAGACATATGCAAGTGGAATTATCCAATAATTAGAAACATGGAGGCCTGGCTGCAGGCTCTGGCCACGTGTGTACTGAAGACAGGCGAGCACGCAGGGGGCACACGTGCCAGCCACGTGCAGAAAAACGGGACTTCCCAGAGCAGCCAGCACTTAAAACACTGACACCACCCTAACCCGGAACAAGAAAGCTTCCCAGTCTGAAGATTACAGGGGCCATGCCGCAGGAGCTTCCCAAAAGCAGTCATTCAGTTCGGTTAACGAAAAGCCATTCTGGTTTTCTTTTCTGAAGAAAAGAAAGATTCCTTTTAGCTAATCTTCCTAAAGAATTACTAAAACAGAACACACACCGAAGGGAGAAAAACTCAATCTGAGCTGACGCTGGAAAAAATTCATTCTAGATAAAAAGATGCATTAATATAAAACTGTGGTCTTATGTTGTTTTAGTGACACGGAATCTCATTTTCCAATCAAATTCATCAAAACTTCCGGGCATTTTCCCACCTCGGTGGAGTCCCTCCTCTCTGTCTGTCTGTCCATCTGTCTGTCTCTCTCTCACACACACACACATACACACACACACACACACAGTCTCTGTGTGATCACGTGGCTGGGTTTCCCCACAGCCGACTTATCACTATCAGCAAAAGCTGCTTTGCGCCCTGCCCCGCTCTTCTGGACGACAGACCGAAAGCTTCGTGAGAGCAGCAACCCTGAAACGGCACAGCCAACAGTCCCAAGTATTTCTGAATAAACAAACGTTGTGGTTTTTCTTCTGCTTTTTTGAAAAGCGCATTTACCATCTATAAGGAGTGCCTAGGGCTTGCGAGCAGTTAAGCGCTCGTGGACAGCGGAAATGCTGGCTGTCTGAACCCACCCAGGGCTCCTTGGGGCCAGGCCTGGTGGTCTGCTCCCGGGAGGCCACAGCATTGAAAGTCCCACGGGGCAGAGTCCGACTTTGCGCCCAGAGGTCACCAGAGGCGGAATCCAGTCAACGGTAACTAACAGCGGCAGCAGGGTAATCCGCGACATCGCCCTCTCGGCTGCCTTCCCACTTTCTTGGAGAAGGGGCGCACAGAGGACGCACAGCCGAGGGGAGCTTGCCTGAATGTACAGACGCGGGGCAGGAACTCAGAGCAGCAAACCCCCCAGACTTGCCTCTCTGGCCTAGGGCCAGTCCTCGCTCTTTCAACACCGCGGGCCAAGATATTTCTTTGGGAAGAGAATCTGCTTCTCGCCCCAGCGATGCAGCACGGAAGGTGTGACCGCACGCACGTCTGTGGTCCCATCAGGTTATGAGAGTTCAGAAATCCGGCTGGAGAGCGGGCTGCAGACAACACACCGCGCGCACCTCAGGCCTCTTGCTTACCAAGTGGCCGTGCTCCAGGCGCACACTGACCCGTCTCGTAGATCACCCACAGCACTTACGTCCTGATGTTGCTGGCTTATGCACGCACTTTCTAGCCACAAGGTTCCCACGTAACAGCGTGTGCTCTGACCTGCAGACAGTCAGCATCCAACTCGTATGTCGTGTGTCTCTGGAGTGTTGTAGTTTTCTTTCTCTGTTTAATTTTCTTTCAAAAGGATTACCCCAAAGTGCATCATGGCCCCCAAATGCAGCAAGCCCAGTGCTAGTGCCAGCAGCCGCAAGAGGCAAAGGAGACGGGTCAACGTGGAGGTGAAACGGAAGGTTATTAAACAGCACGTAGGTCGAAGGGGCCAGTGCTCGCAATTAGGGCACGTGGCACTCCACCACGGGGACAACCCTCAAAAACAAAGAGAAACATCAAGCTCTCAAACGACCAGCTCCACTGACAGCCACAAGGCCGACAAAAATGTGAGAGGGACCTACGTCCCGTGTGGAGAACACTGCTAATGACATGGACTGAGGGCCAGAGAGAAAGTGAACCCCTCTCAGCAGGCTGCCAATCACTGCGAAGGTGCGAAGCTCGCTGGAGATGCTTAATGAAAAAGCAGAACCAGACTGTAACACGGAGTTCACACACACAGTGTTCACACACACGGTGTTCACACAATGTCCACATCCCATAACGTACCATTTCGCTGGACGGACCGCGGACTTTAAGCAACACGTGACTGCACTTTCCTCCAGACAGACGTGTGCTTCTAATTTAAAATTCATTACATTCTTCTCAGGATTCTAAGCTATTACATAATTCCTTAAATGTCAACTTCCTGAAACCCAGCCACTGATGTATTTATTACAAAACACCTTAAATAGACACCGAGCACTGTCAGGGGCCAGGCTAGAGACACCGGGAATGCAGCGTGGGGCTCGAGCCCCTCCATGGCCCCCGAAGGAGCCCCAGGAGATGTGTGGGTGCACGTGTGAGACAGGGAGAGGGGGGCTGGATAGCATCCTGGAATAGGAAGTAGGGCATTACTCTAATGTTGTGGCCAGACTTCACAAGAGATCATCACTGAGAACCCTATCGCTCCTCCACACCCACCCTCAGGAACAGGAATGAAAATCCCTCAGTCAAGGCAGATTAGAAAGCCAAACAGCAGAAGGGGGGTCAGTGACCTATAAACTTACACCAGAGAAGTACCCAACCTTGGATGGGGGTATAGAGCAGGGCCAGACTGTCTGAGCAGGAACACAGGCCAGGCCTTCATCGAAATACAATTCCAGACGTGTTCTCAACTTCTGCTTGGGATTAAGGAACATTTTCCACACTTGCTCAAATCCACACTCGAAGCCTTTGTCCATTATACTGTTCCAGCAATACGTGCTTCCCAGAATTTGGTACAAAAACAAGACTCACTTTTACATCAAACTTGGAATTTTTTTTGTACCAAGCAATGCAACCTATGCACTGTCACGGACTCTCAGAGCTCAAAGGGCTTGGAGAAACCATCCAGCCTGGCATTTTCTAAAGCGAGCTTTGGGTGTAAGAAGGAAAAAACAAGTTCTATGAGCTAACAATTTTCTTTCTTTTCTTAACAACTTCAGTGAGGTAGCATTCACGCACCATGGAATTCTCCCTTTGCAGGTGTGCAATCTGGTGGGTGTTAGTATATTCAAGGAGGGTGCACCCATCACCTCTCTCTCATGTTAGGACATTTCCCTCACTCCCAAAAGAAACCCCACAGGCAATTGCACCCACGCCCCCAGCAAACTAGTTTCCTCATTCTAGGAATTCTGGAGCCCCTCACTGTGAATCTAACGTGTTCTGCGAAAAGTCTGTCAAACTTCTGTCACAGTGAACATTCCAGCACTTACTATGTGCTATTCTAAATGCCACACGTGTTCATTCTTAGGATCAAACCCATGAGGAGCCCTACTACTGTCCACCGCTTCTAAACATGAACCTCGAGGCACCACATTATGGCTACGCGACCTGCTCAAGTCAAGCAATGCTCCAGTCACCACTGTTCCTAGACCCACGGGATCAACCAAGCATGGGATGAGAAGGGACACCATCACTCTGGAAGCTCTGAGCTCTCGAAGGTTAGCGGGTCTAGCCAAGCATTCTCACTCTCTCTCGTTTGCTTTCTGTCCTAGAAGAAGTGCAGCCGGAACGCTCCTTGGAAGCGAGAATGGTCAGACCTCGTCTCACCTACTTTGGTCACGTTGTCAGAAGGGTCCAGTCCCTGGAAGAGGATAGCGTGTGTGGTAAAGAGGAGGGTCGGCGAGAAAGAAGACGACCGTCAACGAGATGGACTGACACAGTAACTGCAAGGATGGGCTCCCGTACAGTGAGGACGGTGAGGCTGGCGCGGGACAGGGCACTGCTTCCTTCTGTGGTACATGGGGTCGCTATGAGTCAGAGACCGCTCCATGGCATCTGACACCAACCACCACCACCACCACCTCACTGGTTCCTTACCCAATTCTCTCCCTTCTTTAAATAGTTGGTCTTTTTTTTATATCTTTAACATGGTAATAAGCTTTGTTGGGACGGACCTGCTCCTTCCAGGTGTCTCCTCCGGAAGCAATGCACCCCCCTCTGCGAGTACAAACCCCACTCATCTTCTCTATGTGGTGCAGCGGGGGCATCACCCAAGTGCACGTCATCTCCCCTGGACACTTGGGTCCTGACTGCGACCCCGGTGGGCGGGAGGGGCATCAATCAACGTCCGAAGTCCGCCATCTGGAGGCCATCCGCACGCACAGAACACGGTGCGCGTCCCATCCACTCCTCGTTTGACTTCTCCGGAGCAGGGGACTCTCCTCGAGGGCTGCCGACGGGTCCCTCGCCTGGGCCCAGCACTGCGTCACCGTCCCCGGAGCAAACGGCGGCGGAACTGAGATCAGACGCCTCGGGCCCACTCTCTCCTGAGATTCGAACCAGGCTCAGCAATGCTCACCGCCGGCGAGGCCGGCCCTTCCGAACCGAGAGAGGGTCAAGCAACGAAGGAGACCAGGGCAGGGCGGTCTCCGCCCAACCCTCGCGACGACCTGGGCGAAGGCATTTCGCCTCCCGGACGGGCGCCGGGGCCGCGAGAGAGCCCAGGGCCGCGTCTGCCGGGGCGGAGGAAGGCCTCGAACGCGGGGTGCCGCTGCCGGTTCAGCGGATCTTCGGGGAGGGGAGAGCAGCCTTCCCCCCGCCTCCCGGCAGGACAGCTGGGACCTCCGGAGCCCGGGTCACCCGACGTGCGCCGGCCCGGGCCCGGGGGTCGCGCGCACGCACGCCCCCTGCCCCGCGCCATCTTGGAGCGCCGGTCTGGGCCGCCCCGAACCGCTGCTCCGCTGGGGACTCACCTACGCTGCCCGGCGCCAGTCCTGCTGCCACCGCCGCGACCCCCGTCACGGCCAGGAGAAGGAGCAGCATGCCTTGCGGCGAGGCCCGGACGGGCGCCATGTCCGGCGCGCTTGTTGGAAGCCGCGGGATGCTCGGACCCAGCCGGGCCGCCGCCACCGCTATTGCTGCTGCTGCTGCGGCTGCTGCTGCTGCGGCTCGCGCGACGCTCCGCCCTCGCCGCCCTGGATCGGTGGTGATTGGCTGCGCTGAGCTCAAGCCCCGCCCCGCAGCCGCCCTGAGTTTCTAAAAACCGCTGCGGGCGGGAACGCGCCCTGGACCCGGGCTCTTTGTTGAGGCCCAGCTGTGTATACGACTCTGCAGCGAAGCGCAGCCAGCAGAGCAGAGTCAGAGAATGGCACAGCTGGAAGGGCCTTAGAACTCTTCTCCACCGCCCGAGGTTTCCAAATGGGGACACTGAGGCTGGGAGAGGAGACTGACTCGCACCAGACCTGCAAGTTGGCCTCAGAACTAGGGTTGGCCCATCCTGCACCAAGGGACCTCTGCAGGCACAAACCGTCAGAGATACTTTTAGTTTTGAGTTAGGTAGGACGTAGAGCCCCAAGATGGGACTGAGAATATGCGGTAACAGGGTGTGAGCCTCTGGAGAGTTTATAAAACCTCTGTCCTCAGCGTGACAAGTGTAGAGTGGAAATGGCTGCAAGTTCGTCATGTTCCTTGCTTCCCACATAAAGTGCTACGGAAGAATAGTGGACTGTTTTCTGTTTTCTACAAGAGGGTTGTGGTGGTTATGTTTGTCTATCAATTTGGGTGGGTCCGGTAGAGCGGCTGGGCGGCTGGGGGTAGTATTCCCCATGATGAGACTGGCAATCACCTCCACTTTGGGATCTACCACAAGCAGCTGAGTAGCTGCCTTAGGGATGTAGTCTGCTTCCTGTATGTAAGAAACAGCTTTGGGAACGGTCTCTAGCCTATGGCATACTTGAACCCTGCCTGTAGCTGTGTTGTTGTTCAGCAGCCTGCCATGCTCTGCCAATCTTGGGACTTTTAATGGACTTGAATTAGTGGCCTGCCGTGTGGATTGGTAACGTTGGGACTGTGCCTTTTTACTTGTCAACCTTGGGTTTGTCAGCCTCAGCACCCTGCAGCTGTCTGAGTGAAGAAAACCTCTAGCTCCAGTGGGCCGGGAGCAGGAGGCAGAGCTGGACCCCAAGGTTGAGGGGCTTTCACCCTAGAGCCTGGCACTTTGAACTTGGACTTAAAGCCTCCAAGTTGTAAGAATAAACTCCTGTTTGTTAAGTTCATCCCATTTGTGGTATATTTCTGTCAGAGCGGCACTAGGGGTCAAAACAATTGTCATAGGAGGAGCTGAGAGAGAGCTGAGAGCCTGGAGAAGTTTCTCAAGATCAGGACGTGCAACTGGACACCAGATGAGAACACAGGTATCAACAGGGATTAATGATGACAACAGAGGAGTAAATGTCCTGCCCTCATCCCAAGTCCCCACTAGTGGCATTGGTGTTACATATTCCTCTCAAAACTAGGCACAGAAGTTAGGGAGAGACCCTGACTAGATTTAAGATCCCATTGAACTCACTGAGATTAAGTTTTGGCCTCCCACCTACAGGCGATGTGGCAGAGACAGCCAGCTGTCCACTGAAGATTAGTGCACCCTTTCTGGAAGCTGTTGCTTGGACGCAACCCAGCCAGAGACATTTTCCAGACACTGCTGTGTCATGTTCATTGCTAACTTAATGACTGGGAGCATAGCCTTGGTGAACAAAGGTCCCTCTGCCTTAGAACGGAATCAGTATGTGTGACATCCCCACTGGACCCTACGGTGGCATCCCAGAGGAGGAAGGGAAGCTCAACCCCAATGCATCCAATACCAACGTATTATGGCGTCCAGCATTGTGAGCCTGGCCTGTGATCCGGGTACGATATTCTCTGTGAGCCTTCAACAAGCCCTCCAAAGACATGACACTGTGGGCGTGAAATTGTTCCCATTCTCTATTCTCTTTGGCTGTTGATTTCAGTAATTTTCAAACTTAAAAATGTACTATTATTTATTTTTTAGCAGTGGAATTCTTTGTTCAGTAAAATCTTACAGAGTCTTGCTATATAAAACAGAAAAAAAGCTGTGTTTGCTATACCTTTAGTTAAATAAATTCAATTTCATAACATTTACTTGGTTCAGAGCCAACGAAGGAGGATGGTGAGAGTGTGATGAACACACAGCTTGGAAATCCGAAGTTACGGATGACAGTTGCAGTCACACTCTTTTCAGCTCCCAGTTTATTTCTGCATTTTGTTTTGGTTTCCTGCTGTAGAGAAAAGTCCTGATTCGTACAGAGGAGTCAAAGGGCCACATGTTTTGGAATACCTCACGTTGCGATCTCAGATGATATCTTTTCTTCAATTAAAATGGTACTGTGGAAAAACAGTAGAGGATTTTTTGTCTCCATGTCAACTCACTGATAAGATTTAATAGCTGCTCAAATCCCTTAAGAAGTCAGAGATGCAGCACCTGAAACTTGCAGTTACTGTGATACTGTTGATCACGTGATGTCGTCACTTTGTGGCCAGTTACATGTTCGCTTGCTGTAGTGGAGCTTGCTGTGACACACAGTGAGAACATACACTGCGCAGATGGCTCTGAGCCTTGCCCTGCACTTAATTGAGAACAGTGCTCCTGTCTACTCCCTTGTGCAATGTCACATGGGAGGACACGCACAGGCTTGGACTAAAGAAAAGATCAGCACAGAGCCACACTTTTTCTAATCAAGGACACATTGAAAGAAAATCAAATAAACTCAGAGATGACAGGAAAAGATTTAAGCCAAAGTTCATGCAAGAGTGAATTCCACAGCACTCATGATACCATTGGGAGCTCTGCTGGCATAGTGCCTAAGACACTTGACTGCTAACCAGAAGGCTGGCGGTTCGAACCCACCAGCCACTCCTCGGAAGGAAGGTTGGGCCATCCTGTAGACATACCGCCTCGGAAACTTGAGGAGGGGTCACTATGAGTCAGATCCGACTCAACGGCAGTGAATTTGGTTTTTTGGTGGTTTATTGTTTTACTACATATTAAAAGTTATTTAGAATGTATTTTTAAAAAGAGACTCAAATCAAATGCTTGTGGAACTCTGACAAGCCTCCATTTGGGAGAAGTTTTGTTCTTATATGATCAGCTTATACGAGTTTTGTAAAACATGCATTTGAACACATATATTTTAACTCTAATACCTTTTCACTTCCAAAACAATGAAGCAAGCTCTGTTCCACAGCTGGAGTAAATATGGTGTTTTGTTCTTTTAGCTTTTTGTAATCATGATGGTGTTTCGATTAACTCATCTGACTGAAGTTTTTTGTAGCATATGGTGTGACGTCCGGATCAAAGGCAAATCTTCATTCAATTGAATATTGTTGCTGTCTCACCATTTATGAGAAAGTGTTTCCTCTGTATGCTATTCATTTTTATCTGACATATATCTATTAAATTCTTACAGTTTGAATTCATTTTCTGGTATCTCTGATAACCCTGATTTCACAAACTTTTGAAAACCAAATGATACTTAGTTCCATAACTTTTCCTTTGTAATAAGTTCAGATCTGGTAGGAAGAATTTAATGTTATTACTCTCCAAAGATGCCTCCATTGTTCTCTGGTGGTGTAGTGGATAAGGCATTTGGCTGCTACCTGCCAGGTCAGCAGTTCAAACCCACCAGTGCTCCCAGAAGGAAGATGGGGCACTCTACTTCCGTAAAGATTTACAGCCTTGGAAACACAATGAGGGTTGCTATGAGTCGAATTCAACTCGATGG